CGAGGCGCGGCGGCGCAGCCGGGACATCGACGCGGGGCTGGCCCGCGAGCGGCGCGCCGTGCGGCGCCTGGTCAAGATCCTGCTGCTGGGTGCGGGCGAGAGCGGCAAGTCCACCTTCCTCAAGCAGATGCGCATCATCCACGGCCGCGAGTTCGACCAGAAGGCGCTGCTCGAGTTCCGCGACACCATCTTCGACAACATCCTCAAGGTGCGCGCGCCCCGCCGCCCCACCCGCACACCTGCGCCCAGGTGCGCGCAGGGGCGGCCCCGCGGACCACCGCGCCCCGGCCGGGACCGCGGCCCCCCCTTCGCCTGCCCCCTGGCCTGGCTGCAGCTCCCAGTGGCCAGGTGCTCCCAGCCTTGGGGGGCTGGCCAGGGATGCGCACCCCTTCTCCCCGTCGGCCTGATGGCCTTCGCCTGTGCTCTTCTCGGGAACTCGGGGGCGGTGGAGGCGGAAAAGCTGGGCGACAACTGGGGATTTGCCGGGGGCGGGGGTGGGGCGGGTCTTGGTAGTGAGGAGGGCCCCTCCTGGACTCTGGGTCGAGGACGCGGCCTGGCAGGATGGCATCTGCGCGTTTCCCACTGCCAGTCTTCTGGGGTCAGGGAGCCATCCTTGTCCTGCCTTTCCAGTGAGTGCAGAAGAGCAGTGTAAACTGCAGAGGAAACCGGCCGCAAGTCTCTCCTTTTACACTGTTGTTGAAAATTTCGAACAGATACAAAGTAGAATAAAACGAACTATGTGTACCCATGGCCCTTGTCCCGCCAACTTCAGCAATGATTAGTTCAGGGCCAGTCTTGTTTCCCCTGTATCCCTGCCCCCGTGATTTTGAAGCAAATCCCAGGCATTGTATAACTTCATTAGAAAATGCTTTAGTATATATATCGCCAAAAGATAAGGCCTCATTTAAAAAACATAGCCACAGTACCCTTATCAGTATCCAGCCTTAAGAATTAACAATAACTCCTTAATATCCTCAAATATCCTGCCAGTGTTTAGATTTCCTCTTTTGTTGCATAAATGTTTTGTTTGTTTCCATCAAGATATAAATTAAATCCTTACATTGCCATTTTTAATGTCTCTCTTAAATGGTGTGTTATCTCCAGGTTCTCCTATCTCTTGTTCCCTTATTCTTTGCAATTTATTTGTGGAAAAAACCATAGAGCTGACAAAGTCTGGGTTCTAGTCTCTCTCTACAGAGAGCCTGTGCTAAAGGGCCCCAAAGAAAGGAAATCTGGAGAAAAGTGATGGTGAGGGGAAAGTGGTGTCTATCGGGCACCTAAATAGGGTCATTTCCTTTTTTTCTTTTTTTTTTTTTTTTTTTTGAGTTTACCTCTACACTTTTCTTGTCCCCTCACTTACTCTTTCCCAGGCCCATTTTGGGGCAGCCAAATTACAGGTATGAGGAAAGTTGTCTTTAAGCAGAGGCAGAAGGAAGCTTGTCATACCAGAAAGCTGCCTGGAGACTAGATTTTATGGTGCCTGAGGGACTTTCAATTTAGCAAAGGGCTGCAGAAACCCATCTGGTACATTTCTTTCCCTTCAGCCATGAGGAAGCTCCGGGCCCTGGAGATGACATAGTGGCTCCTCGCTGGGACCTGGATGCTGGAACCCTGGCCTCTAGACTTGCAGGCCTGCCTTCTTCCAGGATTGCATCAGGAATCTCGCACTAGTATCCCCAGTTTATGTGTTTGTTACTAGAATGTTTCATTTTAAGAGAAATAGCTCTTTTAGGATCCTGACGGGAAGAGAATAATTTGAATGATAAAACACCCTTTTCACTTCTTTCAAAAGCCTCTCTGTGAGTCAGAGCTCTGGCCCAGTACTTCATAAACTTTAAAGGCTGGGTGCCCAGTGTGTTCCAGGGGATGGACTGTGTGTTTAAAATTCCCCTCATCTTCTGGGGTAAAGTGCATTCGATTGTCTCTCTCTGTCACAGAGCCAGATTTTATTTTTGCTGCTTTTTTGGACCTCCAAACCAGGCAGGTATGAGAGTATAAAGATTTGGCTGACTATCTCCCAGTTTCTTTCAACTCGGGAGGCGGAGAAAATGTTTAGAAACATAGAATCTTAAATCTAAATCAGTGTATTAAGTGCGTTTTGGAAAACTCAGTCTTAACCTTTTCCCAATGCATATAAACATTAACTTTTACTGACTTCCTTATCAACAGAAACAGGGTTTGTTAACTGGTATCCTACTTTCCTTCCCAACTTTTTTACTAATTGTAATTCCATATTAAACTCACTTTATCTGTTGGGACTATTTCAGTAACTAATTAGAATTTCAGTTTTCAGTCTAAAACCAAAAATCCCTCCCCCCTGCAATTTTTATTTGGACAGATCACTTTGGGAAGAAACTTTTTAATAAGGTGCTTTGTAGTGGCTTTAGTAGTGGGCATTTGGATGATACTGTTTAGAATAATAATTGTGTCTACAAATAGATTTAGTGTTAACAGGCTATTTTTAAATACGCACATTGCCAGGCCCTTTCATATACGGCATTTAATTTTCATAAGGCATCGGATGGTATTATCCCATTTAGCCATTGAGGAAATTGGAGATAGAGAGTTTATTTATTTATTTTTTGTGTGGAGGACTAGCCCCGAGCTAACATCCGATGCCAATCCTCCCCTTTTTTCTTGAGGAAGAGTGGCCCTGAGCTAACATCCATGCCCATCTTCCTCCACTTTATATGGGACGCCATCACAGCATGGCTTACCAAGCGGTGCATCGGTGCGCACCTAGGATCCGAACCTGCAAACCCCGGGCCACAGAAGCAGAGCGCGCGCGCTTAACCGCTTGCGGGCCGGCCGGAGATAAGAGAGTTTAAAATCTGCTCAAGGTCAGTTACCTAATTAGCAGGTCTCAGAGCTGGGAACCAAACATGGTCTTTTTTCTTTTAATTAAACTTAATTTCTGGGTAATTGTAGAGTCCCATGCAGTTGTAAGAAATAATACAGAGATCTTGTGTCCCCTCTACCCAGTTTTCCTCCATGGTAAGATCTTGCAAAACCGTAGTATAGTATCACAACCAAATATTGACATTGAGAAAATCAAGATACAGAACATCCCATCACCATAAGCATCCCTCATGTTGTCTTTTATAGTCACTTCCTCCCTTCTCCCCCTCCCTGACCTGTCAATGACTGATCTATCCTCCAATTCTATAATTTTGTCGTTTCAAGAATATTATGTAAGTGGAATCATGCAAAATGTGACCTCTTGGAATTGGCTTGTATCGCTCAGCATAATTCCCTGGAGATTCACCCCAGCTGTTGCATGTGTCAGTAATCAATAGTTCATGGCTTTTGATTGCTGAGTAGTATCCATGGTATGGATCTACCACAGTGCACCATTTAACCATTCACCTGTTGAGGAATGCCTGGGTTGTTTCCAGTTTCTGCCTATTATGAGTTAAATCTTCTATGAACATTGACATACATGTTTTTGTGTGTACATACATTTTCATGTATCTGGGATAAATGCCCAAGAGTGCAGTTGCTCAGTTGTATGATAGTTGCATGTTTAGTTTTATAGGAAACTGCCAAACTGTCTCCAAAGTGGTTGTACCATTTTACATTCCCACCAGCAGGGTATGAGTGATCCAGTTTCTCTGCATCCTTACCAGCATTTGGTTGTGTCAGCTATTTTTTATTTCAACCATTCTGATAGGTGTGTAAGTGCTGTCTCATTGCCGTTTTAATTTGCCTCTCCCTAGTAGCTAATGATGTTGAACATCTTTTCATGAGCCCACTTGCCATCTGTACATCCTCTTCATTGAAGTGTCTCTTCGTGTTTTTACCCGTTTTCTAATTAGGTTGCTTATTTCTTTTTTTTGTTTGTTTTTTGTGAGGAAAATCAGCCCTGAGCTAACATCCAATGCCAATCCTCCTCTTTGCTGAGGAAGATTGGCCCTGAGCTAACATCTGTGCCCATCTTCCTCTACTTTTATATGGGACGCCGCCACAGCATGGCTTCACAGGCGGTGCGTTGGTGCGTACCTGGGATCCAAACCTGTGAACCCCGGGCCGCCACATGCACTTAACCACTACGCCACCGGGCTGGCCTCAGGTTGCTTATTTCTTTATTGAGTTTTGCAAGTTCTTTATATATTCTAGATACTAGTCCTCTGTCAAATAGATGGTTTGCAAACATTTTCTCCCGGTTTATAGCTTGCTTACCTTTTCATCCTCTTAACAAGGTCTTTCACAGAGCAGTAGTTTTTAATTTTGATGAGGTCCAGTTTATCACTTTTTGCCTTTATGTGTCATGCTTTTTGTATCAAGTCTAAGAACTCTTTACCTAACCCTAGATCCCAAAGGCTTCTCTTATTTATTTTTCTAAAAGTTTTATAGTTGTATATTTTACATTTAAGACCCTCATCCATTTTGAGTTAATTTTTGTATAAGGTGTGAGGTTTAGGTTAAGGTTCTTTTCTTCTTTTTTTTCTATGGATGTTCAGTTTTTCCAGGACTGTCTGTTGAAAAGACTATCCTTCCGTTGAATTGCTTTTGCACCTTTGTCAAAAATCAAATGGGGATATGGGTCTATTTCTGGGTTTTCTATTCTATTCTACTGATCTGTGTCTCTCCTTCTGCTAGTATCACACTGTGGTCATTACTGTAGCTATATATCAGAGTGATTTGATATCAGAGTGATTTGTCCTATTTCATTTTTCTTTTTCAAGATTGTTTTAGCTATTCTATGGCCTTGGCTTTTCCATATAAATTTTAGAATAAGTCTATGTCTATAAAAAACCTTGCTGGGATTTTGATAGCAATTGTATTAAACCTATAGATCAATTTGGGGAGAACTGACGTCTCTACTTTGTTGAGTCTTCCAATCCATGACTATGGTATGTCCTTGTTTATTTAGGTCATCTTTGATTTCTTTCATCAGCATTTTGCAATTATTAGCATACAGATCCTATACCTGATTCATTAAGTTTATACTTAAGTATCTCATTTTCTTTAGAGTAATTGTAAATGATACTATGCTTTTATTTTCAGTTTCCACATGCATATTGTTAGTACACAACAATGTGATTGATTTTTGTATCTTGATCCTATGTCCTGTGACCCTGCTGAAAACATGGTCTAAGAGTTTTCCTGTAGATTCCTTGGGATTTTCTACATGGATCATCATGTTATCTGCAAATAGGGGCAGTTTTATTTCTTCTTTCCCAATAGGTATGCCTTTTATTTCTTTTT